CGAGTGGCGATGATATGCTACTCCCGGTATAATGGATTTTCGGCAGACAGCCGCACAAAGGAAGCGGAAACGGGCCGTGTGTGCCGCGGGTGTATGGGCGGACGAGTTATTCCGTTTCGTTATTTCGCGATAAATCGTATCGATTTCTCGTCGATTATGATTCGCTTGTAAATCACGCTCGTTGCCGACCGGCGGGGTCAGCCAGTCCAGCGAGTGCACAGCCCATAAATCGCGAAACGAAATGAAAAGAGCGCGGCTACCGCGATGTGAACGGGGGGGATGAGGACGCGGGACTCTCTGCCCACACCGCTCTCTGGTCGGTGAGGCAGCGAATTAAAAAATAAAAAGGAAAGTTTGATGCGCCAATTCCCCCTAACGAATTGCGGTGCACGGTGCGTGCACCATAGCGAGCCCGAATGCGCTCGCTCGGGTATTTGCGATGCGACGTAGTCCGAAGCCGCGCGGTCTCGTCGAGCTTTTCGGCGACGACGGCATTTAAGCACCGCGCGACGGGAGTAAAACGAATCGTTTGTCGCTTTAAATATTCACACCCGCTTTTTCCGCGTATGCGAGCCTCTTTTCGTACCGGTCTCGTCGGGGCAGGTTTCAGCCAAATTTCGTTTTCTGCCATTGGATTCTGTGGAAGTAAGACTTTTATCAGGTGGACTACGTTGAGATTAAAATCAGTTTTAGAAATTGACAAAAATGATGAAAATATATTTTATAGTTAAAGAATTACAAAAGCGAGGACCTGAAAACACTTTTCTCTTTACGTAATATTGTAATAATAAGATGTAAAGGTTTCCGTCTGATTCATTTTTTTTTAAGTGCTGCAATTTTAATAATATTTTTCAAGCCCCATTTTTTAAATTTTTGTATAATACAATATTTATTCCAATTATTAATTTTTATTTGTCTTAAAATAGGAATATGATCTTAATTACGTTCGTTAGGAATATCTTAAAGAGATATCCTTCCTGAATCAGATATCTTCAATTTATGTTATTATATAATATTACAATATATTGTGTATCAAAGTACTTGTAGATTAAATCATTGAAATGTTTGTAGCATTAATTTTATGATTTAACAATAGTTTGCACGAGAACGATGAATAATGAAATTTATTATTTATCAATACATATATTATAAATTGGAATATAGAAATTGTTATTGTGATTTTATCATCATTGTATAATAATTTGTAATGACTTTTTTACACACGACGTGTTATAATATTATTATCAATGATATAAATAATAGATCTTTGAAACTCGATATTATATTTCGTGATATTTTCAGATTTATGATATTATTGATTTTCTGATCTTAAGAGAGTGGCAGGTTATACTTAATTTTATTCTTAAACTTTTATCTTTGAATTTTTAATTATTCATATTTTCATTTCTTTAAATTTTTAATTTGTTTATATTAAATATTTAAGTGTATCATGTAACTTCTCTTTTTAGTATTAATTTAGTAAAATTTTCAGCAAGAGGATTGAAAGTAATATTCTAAAATAAGAGTACATTAATATCCACACAAGCCGCTTTGAGAGATATTTTTCATTAACTGAAATTGCGTGATTCCGCCGCAGGAAGTACAGCCAGAAAATTCCGAAGTCGATCGATCGTTGGAATAAGGGAACAAAAAAAAAGGCTCGGTCGGCGTATTATAGATATATATGTATATATAGTATGGATATATATATGTATATTTAATGCAGATGCAATGTGCGTAACAAAAATAATAACTTGTCTTGATTACTATTAATCTAAAACTTTGTCTTAACAAGATGATTTGTCTGCTTACATCTTTCGGAACGAATAGGATAAAAAGAATAGTTTACTCATGTTATTCCTTTATCAAGAATACTCTACTACAAACTTTCACGATATATGATATATTTATCCTATAATATTTTCGATAATAAGTGCGCATCGATACATTCGCTACAGGATTTCGAGATAGAAAGGCAGACGGCAGCAAATACTGAAACGGTCGAGTAATCAAAAGACTTTTTTTCCGTGAATATTCGATACATCGTCTTTTTTCATTGCAGCACAATGTTATATTTATTGCTTATCGTTTATTTCCTCATCTCTAACAAGACGTTACATTCGTTCTAAATAAAAATAAATGTTATTACGAAAACAAGGTACACGATACTACCATGCTCGTCAATCCAACAATTTGTACTATTTAGATAAATTACATTTATATTTTTTGGCGATATTAAATAAATATTGTATAAATATGAAACGAAGAATGGGAGGTGTATATATTATTGTGTACAGGGAATAAGTATAATAATTTTTGTCGACATGATAAGATTACACGTATTCGAATAGTCTGAATAAACTATTTTTCGCTGTGCGCTATTTATGCTACTGACATTCGATTGATATTTCCTTCTCTTTACGATAACTGTAAATTGAGTTGCCAAGGGAATATCGATGCTTTTCGAACTTGGCGCAGCGTTTCCTAAGCTGTTTTATATTTGTAGGATGGGGCACAGGCATGAGGTTGACGGCAACACGGTTGAAAAGGGTTGAAGATGGTGGCTAAGGGTAGTGACAGGTGACTGATGAAAGCTCTCCGGCTCGCAACTACATTTGGGAGTAAGCATCAGGATCGTCCTCTTCTATCAAATGCGTTTCTTTCGCGTGTTTGTGGAACTTGAACTCAGCTGAAGCAACCATCTTCTCTGCCATCTCGATATGTTTCTTTTCTTTTCCATTACTTTTCTAGTCCATTGATAGCTTAAAATCAATAAGGATTCTCCTCACTATGAAATTCCATTATTGACGTGTAACAATCGTTATTTATATCCAGAACTTGGACTCATTTCTGTTTTTGATTTTTTTAAACGATGATTACCTACATAATGAACTTTTCTTTACCTTGGAGAATTTATAATATTCAGTCGATATGTATAATATTACTCGAGAGAAATATCGCAAGTAGGATGGTCATTTAATGTTTACACGACGCTTCTGTACGGTTGATCGATTATTGCTTAACGTTGTTTCACGCGACGATAGATTCGATCGTCTCGTTACGCTATCGGAGTAAGACGACATCCTTGAATGTTCTTATAGGGAGAGAGGAATTAAGAGTTCGATAATTATATTTTCTACGTCGCATCATTAAAGTGTCAGGCAATTGTAACGTTTACTATTGTTAAAGACTACAGATTACACGTTGTACAATTACACTGTACGTGTAATACGAATGTTAAAAGCTTTGTACTTTACACATTACACGATGTGAATAGACAAGATTTAATTTTATTATGTATGGTTTTGCACTTATGAGGTTTTTCTTCAAAAGAAAGCTTTTAATCTGCACCGTGTGTGTAGCTTGCAAGCTTTTCATCTCTGAGCGTCGTAATGATGATAAAACGCTCGCGATAAAGTAACCTTTTTGTACAGCGTTAACAAACTCGCAATAACGATTTCCGCGACGGACGTTAATGAAAAGTCCGTCGTAAAGATCGGGGTTGATACGGGCGCGTAATTACGCGATACGATCGCGCGCAAAATAAGTTCGGTCGGTGAAGACGAGCTCGTCATTAGCCGTCAGGGAGGCCAGGGTACATTTTGCATCGCGCGCTGGCGAACGTCAAGCCGATTATGTTCCGCGTCACCGCCACAAGCGAGGCTGTAATTGGGGACCGCGTTATCCGGTCAATCGTGAACGCCAGCGGCGGCGGAATTTTTAGCACAAATCAGCGGTATGTGGAATCGAACCTCCTGACGAGCGTGGCCAGCGAGGGCTGGCCGGCCGACGATCCGCTTTACGCCAGGGAGTGACGTTTGACGTGCACGCGATAGCTGCACGGCCTATCGGTTATTGCTTAATGCTGTTTCACGTGCAGCGAGCCCGATATGTATGGTTTCATTATGCCTTTTACCAGCGGATAAGGCTCTTTTGCGCAACATCCCGATATGCATATTGGGTGTCCAATGTTGGATTTGAATTTTTTTTGTGTTTAATGTTTAATGTGTTTAAGTGCTTAACCTACAAATTTATATTACTTCGCATAAGTCGAAAGCTTTCAAAAGTTATTGGTACTGATATTTATTTTTTACCAAGAAAATTTATTATATTAATAACTATAAATTATTTACGATCTGTAAGTAATGCAAGAGAGAGAGTACTATTATGTTAATCAACATTTATTCAAACATTCTAAATTTTTTAAATTAATTTCGGATTGAAAAACCAATTAAAATCTGTTGATGAAACAGAGTAATTTAATTATTTGTTATTTTATATTTATAAGAATCTCGAATAATTTAATTATTTGTTATTTTATATTTATGATAATTATATTAATAAGAATTATATTCTATAGATTTTATTTTATTAAATACCTGTATTTAGTACATATAAAAAATGACCCCTCTCCTTCCAGCTTCGGATTATAATCTTTTTATTCATGTGGTTTTTTTTGTTTCAGATATAACCATATCTGATATTCCCCCGTCTGTGGCGCAAAGGCATGAAGTTAGGCGCGTCATCGAATTCGCTGATCAGTTCGCGTCGCGCAACGTCTTGAGTGGCAGAGTCTCGATTGCTCCGCGTTTTTCTGGCTTTTTTATCGTTACCGTCCGAATGTCGCGGAAGAACGAGTGTCGACAATGTAAGATCTAACGACGGGCAATGACATCGATACCAGTAATCAATTTACGCGATCCAGTTAAATGTGAACAACTCGTAATTGTCGCCCGTCGCTCCCCCCCTCCCCAGTGACTTTCGAAAAATTCGTTTATTACAAAGTCTACACAACGCACGTGTCTATATACTCGAATTTCGCCAACTATTATTTCTCAGTCAGGCTGCGATTCTTTGGAGCGTCCGAAGTTTCGTCTTTAATTCGTCCGCCATGTTTACTGTTGCGCCGAATCTTGAAATCGTTACGTCACGCGTCCTCAAGTCACGACGAATAACTTAACCGTTAACGGATGCGCGTTTATTCTGCTCCTATTCGTTCCGTATTCCCGACCTTGTCTGTCCGAAGAGCTCGTTCGTCACACGCGGGTTTTGCATCGTATGATCGAGTGTTGAGATTGAACGTCCAACGAATATACACAACGGTCGTTTTAATCTATCAATCCGGTTCTTTTTTCCACGTCGACCGCGTCCCGTCGGAACAACGTGTTGACACGCGTATCGCATTATCTTGCGTGTTTCGCGTTATTCGCGAGTGTGTGATCGAACAGTGCGAGTTTATCCGCGATTGTATATATCGAGGAGTATTAGGAATCGTCGCAACGGATCAACTCCCTGTAGAGAGAATCCTACTGGTCTACGATAATCGGTGAGTACTTGTCATTTTTCATTTTATTTCTTTTCTCCATTTACTCTTACTTCTTTTACTATTTTTTTTTTTTTTATGAAAATTGTATGAATAAAATGAGAGTTGAGATACACGTTTGCGTTTGGAAAGAATTGATATCGTGAATTTTAACCGTTCTCGTGTAGTTTATATATTGCGTTCGTCGGCTTTTATTTTTATCATTGGTGCATCCAAAAAAGTATGCGTTGTCCGATCGCTCTCACAGAGAAAAATTTTATAAAAATTAATCTCTGAATTTTTGCCTTCGTAAGAGAGAAAAGGGAGAGAGAGCGTGTTTCTATTAAAACGTCTTTATTAAAAATATATTGAAAAGTTTAAGAATTTTACACTGAAATACAATAAAATTATACATATATAATGTATAATATATCGGAAATTATAAATTTATACGTAATATAATTGATTACTTAAATTATATCTTAAACATTATTTATTTCCACGTTTTGAAACACTGATACATTAAACAAATAAAAATGTTTTCTTCACAATCCTTTGTTTTAAATATTACAAGGGTCTACAAAATCTTGTTACGATGAATATTCTATATTATAATTTGGTCGTCACGGGGATGTGGATTGGATCGATAGTGAAATCAAAATTGTCTCGTTAGCAGATCAGTATATTTTGTTTTTCTTATAACTCGATCCTTAACAATACAATACGTGTCGAGAAACGGCGACAATAATGTGTCGTATCACTGTCTCGCGACTTGTGTTTACAAAAATCTATTTATTTCTCGGTCAGTGAAAATGATTTCTGACTTTACATACAGACGCGATTTTCTATTTCTTTTATTTTTCCCGATGCAGCGTGCAACGTTCGTATCAAGACGCGCGATTATACGTCGGTGGTCTCCAGCTGTATTGACGATTCGATCGAAAATGTACTGCGATGCACCGTAATTGTTAAATTAATAATTACATGCCATTTAAATATTTCGGCAACCGTTAGACTCTGATTCCGCTCGTTCGCTACCTGATTCGCGTGTTTACCTTTCTTTCTTTCTTTCTCTCGAACAGTTAAGCGATCTTTAGAATTAAATATAATATATATGTATACGTATATATAGATATAATTTTCTCGGATTCCATATACGTTATTTTCTCCGAATATTTTTATTGAATTGCAGCTGAGAGATGCAGTAGCGATGCGTTCGCCACATTAATATGTTTCCTTTTTTTTTTTGCACGAAGGATGATTTTGTTAAAATATCTAAAAATTAGAACAGGTACAGATTTGGAAATAATCATGATAGTTCATCTAAAAATTATATTTTGAATGCTCTCTCTTTCTCAAACTGATCGTTATATTCGTTTTATCATCAGCCTTTAGTGTCCTAAATAAATGTTTTTAAATTGATATCTAATTTATTTAATCAGAATCGCCTTTTTCGCGTATCTGTACAAAAAACAGGTAAATAAAATTGATTTATATGTTTACCACGCACGTAAAAGACTCACATGTTTCCTACCGTTAGTTCATGTACACATACACGGTCAGTCTCGTTGTCGCATTAACTATTGGCTCCGAGGCATTACCATATCTCCTGATCATGTGATGTCGCGCGTTTTCTCTTGCATGCTGTAATAACGAAAGAAAAAAGTAGGAATAAAAAAAAGAAAATTATATGATCGGGTGGTATAAAGATTTCGTTAGATTGAATTTGCCATTCGCTATTTCCATTCAAAAAAGCACAGATAAAAATAATATTCCAAATAAGTGGCGTAATATATATATATATACACACGTTGCACGAGTAATAACTTTTGCGTCCAAATTGGGGTTAAGTTTATCGTCATTGAATTTTGCATTCGTAGCCAAAATTGATATCGATTTCGTCGATTGTATTCATGCTAAAGCACAGCTTTCATGTCGAGGAGAGAAAGAATATCCTACTGAAAAGCTAAGAAAATCTTTAGGAAAAGTTAAAGAAAGAGATCGTGGTTTGTTAAATAACGGTTTTTCCGGGACGTTATATTTCGATGACTTTACACAAACGGCGTACATTTATATTCCTGAGGTTAATATTAAAATTAAAATATTAGTTACGGGACAGATAATATTGAAATGTAACTGTGTTGCTAGCTTATCCACGAATATTATTGACAGCACGATATTACCCGTCAATTCATTTAGAATACGTGTTTACGTGCGTGTAGGTGGATGTTTAAATAAAATATGTCAGCGAGCGTGCATACACGGATTCGTATGCTGTGAAAACGCACGAGTTTTTCGGAACAATGAAAATTACGTCAATCTATTATATTTGCCCGTGGCAGATTTACGATCAACTGATGTTTGAGTTGCATACGTAGGTATTGTATTTTTCACAATTTCCCCTAACACGTTATACATATAATAAATTGGATGAGATCAGCCCTTTTTAAATCTAGATATTTTTCTAATCATCTTGAGGATCCATAGACTTGTGCTAATTAATGTGAACGGGTAATTATATTTTTATATGTATATGTATAGAAAGGTTTTTATATAAATCGCAATACAGAAATATTTTAGTGGACGGGTAGCGATAAAGCGCGCTTTATTTTTAAAAATAATTTTCTTGTGTTTTTGAAAACGCGTTTGCATTTTGTTTTCTAGTAATTGCAACAATACACGATATAATAAAATTTCATTTAACTAAAAATAAGCGGAAACGAACAATATTATTTTATACCATATGAAATTGCAATACGTGTTTATATTGTTATATACACACATATGAAAAACATTAAGAAATACTTAATTTTCAAAACTTTAAAAAGAAATTTTAATTTTACATTATTACAAAATATATATATATATAAATTTTGTGTGTGTGTGTCGCATCACTACGGAATAAAAATTTTGATCTTATACAATATATATTTGCATCTGCAATTTACACGTATCGATATAATTGCTGAATTAAATTAATGCAGCTATTAAATTGTATTGTGGAACTGTATTACAGAATTATAGTCAGGTTTTTTGCGAAAAATGAAAATTTAAATGACTCACGCTATTCAAAGATCTTGACGTATATTTCCTCTTGTCAAGTTTCTTCCGTGCAATAATTTTTCGTACCACTTACTCCGCTCACTTTATTTTCTTTCAAGATCTTTGCAATCCTGGATAGATTGCGATTTGTTGTGAAATTAGGTCACAAGAGATGGTAAAATAATTTCGTCGTTTATATTTTAACAAGTAAATTATCACACAATACACTTTGTATGATAAAACTCTTTTCTGTTTCTTTCCTTGTTATTTTCACAAATCTACTTGTGATAAATTATTGTCCATAGATTAATAATTTTTAAAAAAAGAACTTTTTTACTTGTTTCGCTCTGTATATCTCTGTATATCTCAACTTTCCACATTGCTGACTTACGCGGTCACGTAGATCGAATTTCGATAGTTTCGTTTCTGTCTGCGTGAATTTTTGTTATCGTAGGTACAGAGATTTTCACGGGAACAATGCGATAGTACTGAAAAATGCTGTCACGGTAATCCGATTTTTTAACCATTGATAAAACTCAACACTTCTCAGAAATTGCGTATATATTTTGTTTCTCTTTTTCCTCTTGTTTTTTTTTCTCTCCATGTATATTTGTTTTTACCAAATCTTAAAAAATGAAACATTTAAACACAGAGTTTATTACAAATTCTATGGGGAATATTATTTATTTTTTATCTTATAACAATATGAAAATACATTAATTTTAATTTAAACAGATAAAGAAAAAAAACAAACAAAAATCACGAAATAACCTGTTTGTTACTCGTTTGAGCAATTTATTCAACTTTACTTGATTTTACCGGATTAACTATGTGGTCGCACTTTTTTTTTTTTTCTACAGCGAGGAATAGTTGTACTGCAATTTTCGTGTTGGCAGAGCAGTTTTAACGGCCTTGTATTGTATCGCGCTAGCTTGTGTCGCCATTGTCGTTTCTACATCGTTTCACGAATTACTTCGCACCATGTAGGTAATTCCCGGCTCGTACGTCGAATTGGGTCACGCGTTTATTCCAGAGAGCTGAAGAGCAACGGGTCCCCATCCACATGGAATTTCCATACCGTAAAGTCGTGAGGGAACGACTGCAGCAGGGTAAGCGAGCGCGTTATCCATGGCAGAAAGCGCGCGCGAAAGAATGGCGTGCCGGCATTACGACTTATTAAATTCAACCGCCTCTGTCCCTTTCGCCCTCGGTCACTCGGCGCGCGAACCCTTTCCGCTCCGTACGTTTTACCATCCTTCGGCATTTTCTCACTCTTATACGTCGCTCTTGCGTAAACTTACCGTAATTTTATGGCGATTATATCCGCGTATATATCCCGCCGTCCGTGACCGCGCGACGTGACGTTAATTACAACCCCGGACTTTAATTTCAAACGGGTGCGATTATTAGAATAAGCCGCGCCGCAGACCTCGTACCGCGTGCGTTATTGCGGCATGTAATTATACATATATAATCCCGTGGATCCTCCGGGAGACGTTCTAGGATGATTCTAGGCGAGCAGGTGGTGCAGCGATTCATTATCAGATACGTGCTGGGTTCATTTCTGTGATTATACCGCAAGAATCGAAGAATCATAGAGATCGAAGTTTTGATAGTCGTATGAACTTTAACTCTATCCTCGTTTTGTCACTTCATTACATGATACTGTTACATTTGTGTTCAGAGTATGATAATACAACGATCTACAACTTTACATTCAAATAGCGTTTTTCATTAGAAACTTAGAATATCGAAATAGGAGTTTCCGAAAGTGTTTGTTTTAATGTTTATATATTATATACATATATGACTCTTTCAAGTTCGAATACGTTAGACATTTTTATTCGACACGCAGCAAGATGGTCGCGATGCTAACACATACAATAATAAACCGACGAAATATATCGTTTCATTTGTATTAATGCAATTTTCGCATCCAACCAGCAGTTGCACGTTCGCATGCTTTAATTGGGGAAACAGTC